AGAATGGGTTCTCGTGGCCTAAGTGACTAACAGTGGTTCCCATTTTACTGCAGACACAGTCACTACTTGATTGAATGGTATAAGATGCAGACATCTGTTCACTGCTTTCAAGCACACTTGTTCTAATGGTCAGACAAAATTTCATCGGCACATTGAAAACCGCCATTGATCCAATTTCTGCTTTAACATTTGATGAACTGTAGAGGGGAGTAGATGTATTTTTACTGTAATATAGAAATGTTGAACATGCTGTAACGAATGAGACTCTATCAAAGCTATCAAAGGAAGGATTCTTTGTTCGAATATGAAGTGTTAAGAGTCCGAAAAAGTTACATACTGTCGTGTATATGATCTTTGTCCAACCAAGAGGATTGTGGTGGAGAATATTGGGAAATACTTTGGTGTTTACCACTTAGTAGTGGATGTGCCTTGTTTATGTGTCCATAACCATGATAATGAGGAACTCTGTATTATTTTGTATAAATATAACATGGTGTTCACTAGCCGACGGCACCACAAATGGAAAAACATTTGTGGTGTTTGAATGAACTAATGATACCTTTGTACTTGTTGCGCGCTTGATGTCGAATTCTAAATACAGTACATTCGTTTGTGGTTATCTAGTAATTCTTGATCCGATTACATCATTTCTGGGATTCCTAGTTCATACTATGATTCAAATACCTCCGAATATCATACATTTACATCTTGTTGTGCAGTTAAGTGAGTAGTAATAACCCTGCAAGTAATGTCTAAAGCTTCTTTGAATACTCCTTATTCGTATCTCTTTGGTAGCATTCATGTTTACGAAAGTGAATAAACAGTGTTCAAGGAAAGGTTGAATACATATGATAAAAATGACACTTCTTTATCATGTAACCAGCCAGCCATCTGTAATTCGAAGTATAATCAAGACATCTCTTAGTTTGAGACTTCCTATATGATTAATACCAAGATCATGTTGTTTCTGAAATTTACATCTATATAAGTGATGTGACGGTTTATAGTGATATTTCCCTATACTAATTGTCCCACACCTGCTGTTGCTTAATGACAACTGTTACTATTTACTACAACTAGACTGGTTATCGAAGTTATTTTAAATCTAAAACATAATTCGATGAAAGCTGTGCGTTTAAATATGTATACTGTTTTCAAATCACCAGGAGATAGGTAAAGCCCTCCAAATTCTATTGATTTTACACATATCGTTTACATGTATAAGAAAAAATTGAAGACTTTATGTACTTCCCTGGAAAAATCTATGACTTACTGATCATAGCGATGAGAACAAGTAATTGAAACTTGCTGCATATTTACGTTCAGCTGGGACTGGGTGAACCATGAAAACATAGAGCTGTTGGTTCTGAAGTACTTTAGTTTAAAGAAAAGCCTTTTGAGTGTGGTCTTTTCAAAAGCTTCGTTGAAGATAAAGACAAGAATTGACACAAGGAGCCAGTTGTCTTGTTTTTATGTCAATTCGTTTCGACAATTTAGCAGGCAATCATCGAATGAATTGAACGCAAAAACTCATGTAGGGACGATTATATGGCACCATTAGCAAGTACTTATATACCTCGTGATGAAGCATAGGTCGCCCACCAGGATCCTTCATCGAACTCTGTCCTCTGCTCTCCTTTCCTGCTGTTTTCAGTTGCCATTGATTCCTTTGATGTTTTCTTCCAGTTCCCGACGAAATATGTTTCTTGGTCTTCCTCTTTTCCGTTCCTATTCAGGATTCCAGCTTGGGTCTTGTCGCGTGATTCAGTCTGTTGACTTCTTCAATGCATGTCGCATCCATCTCCAGCGCCTTATCCTGATTTCTTCTCCAACTGGAAGCTGGTTTGTTCTCTCTCACAATAGGTTGTTGCTAATGATATCCAATCAACGGACATTGAGTATCTTGCGTAGACAATTGTTTAGAAACAGTTGTACTTTTTGATGATGGTTGTAGTAGTTCTCCAAGTTTCAGCTCCGTACAGCAGAACTGTCTTGACATTCGTATTCAAGATTCTGACTTTGGTGTTGGTTTACAGTTGTCCTGAGTCTCTCAAATTATTCAATTGAGGGAATGATGTACTTGCTTCGCCAATCTATGCCTTTGCATCTGCATCAGATCCTTATCGCTTGTCGATGATGTTGCCCAGATACGTAAAACTTTCCACCAGTTGCAGAAATTCCCCATCAAGTGTGATTGTGTTGGTGTTCTCCGCGTTGTATTTCAGGATCTTGCTTTTCTCATTGTGCATGTTGAGGCCTATTGCTGCAGAAGCTTCTGCTACACTGGTTGTCTTGGCCTGTATTTGTTCATATGTCTGGGATAGATGAACCATGTCCAGATCTTCTAGTTTCATTCAAGCTGTCCATTGTGTCATATGCTTCCCCTCAGATGAGGAGGTATTCATGATCCAGTCAACCACCAGAATAAAGTGTAAAAACGTTGGTGCTCCTGTTTGATCTCCACAGTTGCTAGTTTCAACTCATGGACATTGAACATCTCGATTCTTTTGAAGTTTTTGTAATCCCATCAAACCGACCCTATGTATACCATTATCGACATAACTACACTTCTCAGATGCCAGTTCTATTTTCAAAAGCTGACACCTATGATACCATGAAAGGCCGTTATCATGTGTACATCCATACATCTGGTGAGATGTCTGTTTGTAAATTGGCTGAGATCATGTCAAAATATATTTTTTCACAAGGAGATTGTGAATATTCCAATTTTTGGAACGACACATTTCTGGAATGGAGTCTCTGCTCTTGGTTCATACAATCTTCAATTATCAAAGAATTCAACGTATGATTCGAATTAGGGCTTTAAGAAAAGAAGGTTGAAATTTTCTGAACATGGAATAGTACCAGTTCTTACTTATAATCAAGTAAATAAATGTAGAAAATGAAATTCAATACTATGAATGAGTGAATATTGGAGGTAGGCAAATGTATTAGACGATTAAGAGAATAAACGTGGAATTTTTGGATTATTATTATTCACTGCTTTTCCTCCACAGCACTTTTTTATGGGTATAAATGATTATTACGCTATTCGTTTGAGAGAAGTATCGAGAAGTTTTGCTACAAATTCACAAACCTTTTTTTGTGTAAATATAAGATGACAAGAAATAATACGCCCACACCACATAAGGTGGCAAATAAATACTTTGGCGATAATTCTTTAATCCCAATGGTAGATTCTCGGTCAGTTTATCAGCAACTTATGCGTTTGCTGTTTAACAAATGCTAACGGGTGATTATTTCTTGTTGTCGTCTTCGTTTAATCACTCAAACTCCATAGGTTATGCTTACAGTGGGACTTTTTTTGTGTCGTGTTTAAAGTTCCGCAGGCGTCGTGTCCATCTGCGAGGTTATACCGAGATCCTGCTGCTGATATCAACATCTGTATTATTTGTTACACAGATGAAGATTGAACGGTTGAACTGATCTGCTGCAACCTCACACCAGATCTTTTTGAGGCTGCAGCAGTGCAGTGGACTTTGATTTTATGTCCCGATTAAAGATTGTTCCCAGGGCTTGTTATTCACGAGGATGTGGAAACGTTCTGTTGATGATATACGGAGACTGTCGCCATATCCATTTCGTACTAGCTCAACCACTTCAGAATTGTCCTTTATATCCCAACTTTTGTAATATGTATTTAATTTACTTAACTCCTGGAGCTCTTCTAGAGCCATTGTCGGTCTGAAACTTGGGTAAGTGAAAGAGATTTGGTTTGAAGTCATTAACCACATATTAACACTAATTGCAACCGGACTGTCCAAAACCTAAGCTGTCATGACACGGAGTAAAAATAATGCAGAACTAGAGATAGTACCTTGAAGCATTTCACATTTACAGACTTCCATACAGAGAGTTTCCCATTTGCCCTCACTGCTTTCAACCACAGGAGGTTTTCCGCTAAGTCTTGTCTGTTGTTTCAAAGTTGAAAGGCTTTTTCATTAGCCTGAAGATGGCACAGGTATTCAGTGTTTGACATCGCTTTTATCAGCAACACCTTCTTTTATAACTCGTACCCACCAAGAGAAATCAAAAGACAGAGTCGAGGAGATCGGAAGAGTGTATTTGGCGATAACCAATATATCGGAATTCTCTGACCTAATCTGGCTAGCGATTGCGCTAGATGTTGAGCGCAGCATTACCACACGTGATCTGGTGCGGATGCATGACCGAGCGCCTTCAGCTAGGTGAGTCCACAAAAACTAATCTGGTCAGCATCTACCGTCGAAAACTTACAGAGCTATTTATTTAGGGAATTAAATAACCGCTACAAACCCAAAGGAGACATCTTTTCAAATACTTTGATGAAATCTACGAATATCACGCCGGTTTACAAACTGTTATCTTAGGCCACTGTAAATTCTGCCTTGAAGTTCGAATACCGACCAAGAACTCTGATTACAGGACTTGTGTTACTCCGAAGCGAACAGATTATAGGATTCTATACGGCTAAATAATGTAGCACGAATTGCTTTGTTAATACTTAAACTGCAATGCTAGTTAAACTGACAAGTGTGTGTTAAGATGTTTTATACCTCTCTTCTCCTAAGAGCTAAACATCTGTGAGACCGTAACAAGATGATTTACAAGTTTACGTTCGGAAAATTCAGAGTGCCACTCTATCTTCTCCACAGAGTTTCCTTCGAACGAGTGACATCAACTCCACAGATGAACACGGAATCTTTCTCGACATTATGTCCCGAGTTACCAGTTTCGAGGAAGACTTAACCCATTTTGAGGGAGCCATTATGGTAAACTTTGGGGAAATCTTTCAAAATTCTCCTTTAACTTTGTTGAAATTCATCTGACTTTGGGGATTTCTCCAAACTTGGGAGATTGGGATCAGTTCATGATGTTATTCCGATTTATATATGCTGATCCTCATGACTCTGAGTTCGTCTTCTCTATTTTAAATGGTTCAGCAGTATGCTTTCTGTTAACTCAACTGACCAACTAACCCCATTACTGAGATTAAATATTGAAAATCTCGCGGGCGCGTAATTCGTTGGTCGTTCCTTATGGTTGGTCGTGAAGTTTTCTACCCTCTTCCACACTGTATGTATTCATAAGCTATATCAAGAGATAAACATAACAATATTTTATTAGTGAACCGCCGTTGTAAATATTTTTTGTGTATTTAGCCTTTAAAGACCATTTCAACAACAAATGTTATCGGTGAATCGTTCAGGGTTGACAAATTTACCTTAGGCCCGTTCTTAGGAGGAGTTTTTTCTGTCTCATGGAGGGAGTCTTATTGATACTCTTGATGAAATGAAAAGTGGTGGATACTTTCTGAATTTTACTCATTTGAAACCATATTCACATGTTTTTTCTCGTAGTCTAGACCGCTGCACTTAAAACAGTCACTTAATAATGCCTGTAATTTAAGAAAACGGTTTACATCCCACCGTATAACGACGGCCTGATAACTTATTTTTGTGCACTCAACACAACATTGGTGTCACTCAGTTAGTCATCATTAACCTAGAGCTCATCATTAAAAGTCCTGTTTGTGATCTTAAGTACGGGACCACATGGGAAATAATCACTCGGAAGCAACTTTTAGAATAAAACAGTAGAAAACTTGCCCACATTGACGGGAATCTACGACATATACAAAAGAAATATAACAATTAATTAGGCTCAAGAGTTGACAATTATGAGTGTAGAAAATTTTGTTTCCGACTTTGCTTTTGGTGTCCGATCTGTTTGGCCTTTGAGATCTACTATCATGTAGATTCAGCCTGGTTGGGTATTTCAGCACTCATCAGTCATTCAATCAATGTAATGTATACCCAAGTTTGTTTAATATTAAATTATCACTGTATCCTCGCAATTTTTATGTTGCCAAGTCTTGAGTCAGTCTGTACAGGTGTACTGATGTTAAATCATTCTACTCCGACTGTTAGATTTTGGAATGAGAGACAAAATTGCAATTATTTCGCTCTTTGAACAGTTCACTAGGAAAATTTTGATCCGTTTATGTAAAAATATTCACATTTCCAGTATATGCCCCATTCCTTCGTGAATCTGGTTACCATTAGTGGAGCTTCGCAAGGAGTTGGGATATGCCTTCAAGTCCTAATGCTAATTCTTCCCCATGATAATTTAGACTAAGGTCTTGTCCACTGGCAGATAGTTTTCACTATTTACATCCAAATTTACTCTGAACAGCGATTTCATTAAAGCATTGCATGCCATTGATTTCAAGACTTTACTTAGAGACGTCATTCGGTTGTTGTAACGCATGATATTTGCTGGATTGTGATTAAATATATTTCAATCTGTTACTGGCCCTACCATTTTATCTAACAAGGGTTTTTGTGGTAACAATAGTTCCTGAAATAAGAAAACAATCCCCTCCGGTTGTCTATTTAATTGTTCCTTAGCTTGGAGGCTGGCGAGTGGCCTATGCTCCTTCACGAGGAGTAATAGGCGTAAGTAAGTTGAAGGCTTCTGATTTTGTGGTTATATTCATATATTTCGTATGGTTCATAAGCCCGTTTCCAAGTCACTACAAAATTTTTAAGATTAAGATAATTCTATGTGGAAACTTCGGGATCTGTATGACTAATCTGCTTGTGGAAAACGTTCATACGTACGTTGTTCTCTTCATGTAGGTCAAACGCTGATTGAAGGACTATTCTGAGAACTTCCGAGTAACCAGTCCTTAAGTCGGTTCTCTAACAAACTTCGTATTTTATTCATGGCTGCCCTTTGTTGGACCATATTTTCAAGGTTGGTTCACTGATGTTTGTCGCTTAGTAAATATTAGGTTTCGTGTTAATTTTAATCATTTCAAATGCTTGACTGCAACACCGTCCAGATCAGCGAATACAAAGTTAGCCGTTTATCTTAAAGTTTTGTATTTTAAGACAATTAAAACACCCCAAAAGGAAGGGCGATAATCTGGAACCTGTTGCTACATCGGGTGGTGTGTCTGAGTAAGTTGTTTTTTTAATGATTTACTCTATAGCTATGCAAAATCTGCAAACATCGTAAAGTCAAAGTATGTCAGAGCTGTTTTGTTATATCAGTAACTTTTGATGGACAATTTTAGGGATCTTCTTGGCGATTTTATTAAAGAATATCGTTTTGGTAAGCCTGTTTTCTATTTTTAATTGCGACTTCATGCAAGGTAATGATGCACCATCAACAGCATTTGTTAATCTTCCTTCACCGGCTAATGTAAATATTTTCACTCATCAAGATGGTAGGTGGTCTTCAGATCTAGCTAATGTTTAGTCCGACCTGCTGATTCTTGTAACTCATTAAACCCCATTTTTGATGCCGTTGAGAATTTGGAAGCCTCACTTTTCAGTTGTGCTCTTCCAAACAACCAGTTCGAAGAATGGTTAAAGTGGACTGTCGAAAAGAAAATGTGGAGTTTTCCGATTAATAATGAACAAGGTATATACATTTGTTTCGTGTGAATTAAAACAACCGTTTATGATGAGTCCATTCCTTTGAGGTATCCTAACTTCTTGGCATGTGGTATGGTTACGGTCAAGAAATATTAACCGTGTGACACATAAATCCTAATTCACTTGTCGACTCTGGTAACCTGTGTGCGAATGTCCAGCGTGCTTCATTAATGTCGCTTAGCATCCTGTAAATAAGGTCGTGTGAAAAAATAGATCATAGAGTGATAACTCCATATATATAACTGTAACTTGAGTAGTATTGTACTAGTTTCGCATACTTAATTTGTCTTTAATGAAAGTTTCCAGAGTTCAAGCCTGGAGAGTAAAGCTCTGGAAACTTCTATTAAAGACATATTATGCTTGTGAACTTGAACTGATATACGTACATACGAAATTCCACGTTGTTACTGACACTAAAGCCTGCAAAATCTGGATGTTTTCAATTATTTCAAAATCTGTTTTGGAGAACTGTTTCTTCAGTTAGAAGTCAGTAAGTGGAAGTTTCCATGAATCATCTGATTTAATGCTGTTTCGTACCTTTTTACTGTATTGTTCTTCAGTAAATTATTTAAGCTGTTGTTTGACAACACCGTAAGAACCAGTATCTCTAAGCTGGGCATTTAATATTCTAGAAAATCAACACTGGCTAGCTCTTTATAAGGATAGTTCGTTCTGGAAAAACTAACTTGTTATTAAAATGGCCGTCGTAAATATATATAAGAGCAGTGGAATAACTTATTACAAACTAAACATTGTCGAATATTTCCTAGAATCACATTTTCCTTGTAAGGTTCAAAATATTCACGTGAGTTGTCCATCAGGGTTGATGTGAGGCTTTTAATCAAAATTAATGGGATTCTGCCGACTACCAACCCTAGTTATATTTTTTTTAACTTTAAGACGGTATTCAACTCCCTAAATGCACAGGTTTTATAGCAGTCTGTAGTTGAAAATGATACCAGAGAAGTTCATAGACCTTGTCCAGGCTCCGTCTTCAAACAATGGTGGTTAGATCAGAGTTTATTGTGGGCTGTCATCAAAATTAAAAACACCAACATCAACAACTCCATTTACTAAAAATCCTTGCCTTGTTTGTATACTTTACAGATTGGGATTCCGAGTTAGATGTACCCTTTTATGATCATGTATTTCTGGAGAATCATCTAAACAAGGAACATCTCAAGTGTAAACCATTGGCATCGTTCTTGGAACTTGTCTGCACTGGTCTTTCGAAAAACCCATATTTTAGTGTTGACGATAAAAAGCAACATCTCGAGTGGTTCACACAGTTCTTTGACGATAAGATAACGCGAATAAACGATTCCATAAAAGAAGAACATATGGCTAATGTAGAGAAAATTTCTAGAGGAACTTCGACATAATCTACTAATTTTTACTTTTCAAATAAACCATTCCCTAGGAAATTTCTTAAAATTTTTTATATTTTACAATAATGATTTGCTAATTACTTTATAAGTACTATAAACGTCAGTGTACATAGTCAGACTTTTAATTGGTAGAATATATGTGTCGTAGTCGTTATTAGACATGGATGTTCCCAGTTTTATTGTCGAAATACTAGTTGAGGACTTCTTTCCTAAAGTGACGGTCTAAAATCAAACTCGTTTAGGTGTATCAAATGAAGCTATATTTATTCTAAACTAACCTGTTACCGTGACTTTACATTAATGTGTCCATTTCCTACCGGGTAGCTGGTATAGTAATATGTTATTGAATAGAACTGGTTAATTTGTAATTAATTGCACTGGCTGAGAAATCAATTTTTGAATTAAAAGAAGAAACGATCATCATACAAAGCTTGGAGATTTTAGATGACACACGAAAATCGGTTGCGATAAAATTAACTGTGTATAAATGTAAGTATTCTTTTCTTCTAACTCCACGTATGATTGGTCTGGAGTGACTTCACATATATTTTTCAGCGAACACCATTTGATTTTATTAATCTGCCCAAAAGTTTGATTAAATTCACTTAGGTGTTGCAAAGAGCTGCTGCATAATTCACTTAAAGGTTGGATTTTCTTGTTGCTTGCTCATAAGTTAACAAATCCCATATGAGTACAAAAATTTAAATTCAAACAACATAAGGAGTCCTTTGTAAGTCACCTTGGTTTACCACAGAGTGAAACATCAAATAGAGGTTTGCCATACGAAGCAGGTTACTATAAATGCTTTTCTGATGATTACAACTCACTAGTAGGATAAGATAGATACCAGTGCTTTAGTAATATTTATTAGACATATGTGAGTCATGCAGACTAGTATTGCGTAACGGAGGTCTCTAAGTAGGCCACGTAAGTCAACGTAGTAACTAATATGAGAAACAAGCCAGGATACTTTCAGGAAGATGGGTTGAGAAAAAGCAGTTATGAGAATTAGGGTTTTTTAATGTGGCTTGAAGTTATTTTCACAAAAATGCAACCGCCAGTTGAGTTCTTGTCACTCGCTTAACAACTCAATATTGGAATGTTTCTGTAGGGGCTTATCAGTTTCTGCGTGTGCTGGCGTTGAGTGGAACTCCGGATTTAATCGGTTTTATCACCTTAAAGCACCGACTTTCTGACAGAAATGTCAACAACAAAGCAAACCAGTTGTATTTATTAGTGCGAAATAACAAAAAGAAACCAAAACTTCTGATTGATGTACAAAAAGTGATAGAAGTTACCAAAACAACTATTGATCCTCGGATTTACTGCTAAGGTGTTGAAAACCTACCTACTTACGCCTGTTACTCCTAATGGAGCATAGGTCTCAGACCAGCATTCTCCTACCCACTCTGTCCTGGGCCTTCTTTTCTAGTTCCATCCAATTCTTGTTAGTTTTTCTCATGTCTATTTCAATTTCCCGGCGTAATGTGTTCTTTGGTCTTCCTCTTTTCCTTTGGCCTTGAGGATTCCATGTGAGAACTTGTCTTGTGACGCAGTTGGGTGCTTTCCTCAATGTATGTCCTACCCACTTCCAGCGCTTCTTCCTCCGCTGGGATCTGGTTTGTTCTCACCCACAGTAAGTTGTTGGTAATAGTGTCCGGCCGACGGATCCGAATTATTTTGCGTAGACAACTGTTAATAAACACCTGTATTTTCTGGATGATGATGTGCTGCCCTTGCTTTGCCGATCCACGCCTTCACATCTGCATCAGATCCACCCTGTTCATCAATGATGCTGCCCAGATATGTAAAGGTTTTTACATCTTCCAAATCTTCTCCGTCAATTGTGACTGGATTGGTGCATGCTGTGTTGTATCGGAGAATCTTCCTTTCCCTTTGTGGATATTAAAACTTACTGCTGCTACACTGGTCGTTTTCTCCTGCATTTGTAGTTGCGATTGCGATAGGAGGACCAGGTCATCTGCGAAGTCTAGATCGTCCAGCTGAATCCTAGATGTCCACTGTATCTCGTGCTTCCCTTCAGAAGTTGACGTCTTCATGATCCAGTCGATCACCAGGAGAAAGAGAAAGGGTGAGAGTAATCAACCTTGCCTGACACCGGTATTTACCACGAACGAGTCTGCCGATTGTCCTCCTTGCACAATTTTGCAGTTTAACCCATCATATGAATTCTGTATGGTATTGACTATCTTCTGAGGTACACCGTAGTGTCGAAGAAGCTTCCATAGTGTTGTTCTGCCCATGCTATTAAATGCTTTTCCGTAGTCAATGAAGTTTATGTAAAGTGATGAATTCCATTCAATTGATTGTTCCACAATGATCCGTAGAGTTGCGATTTGGTCTGTACACAATCTATCCTTACGGAATCCTGCCTGTTGGTCACGAAGTTTGCGCGCTGTCCGACTGAACGGAACAGTAAGGATCCGAAACGATAGGGACACTCGTCGTTGCCTTTTCGTCGTCTCTGCCTATTCTCCCACTGACTGCAGCTCAGATGATGTAAAAGATGAGTTTTACAGAAACCTCTCCGACCTCCTCCTAAAAGCTAGGCGCTTGGATGTAGTAATAGTGGCCGGTGACTTTAATGCTCAAGTAGGTAAACTCAGTCAGTCAGTAACAACGTAGAACTTAGTACGTACGTACATCAGTTCGAGTTGCCATACCACATTAGCACAGAGATGCAGTGGTCGATTCAAATCCCGTAGTGGTAGAGGTAGCAAGAGTATAAGCAGTAATCGGGAAGATTAGGGTTTGGAGATGTTATTTAACGAGTATAATCCAGTGAAATAAATTTGGAAAGAGGAAAAAAAAGGGCATGAAGAATTCAGATAACTAGAATTTGGGAGAACATAGAGAGTGGATGCACCTGCGCCATTGCAAACGATTTTGAGCCATGTCATTCAGGGTCTCTAACCATCGGTTGCTATCATCTCGCGGTCCCCAACCAGGTAGTCTACACCTACCAACATGACTCAGTCCACTTGTCAGTGACTTCATGGATTTGTGCCATGTTTTGGTCTGGCCGCCCCTAGCTTTCTTCCAACCTACTCCTATACCACTGAATATAGCACGTCGAGGTAGTCGGTGGTTGGGCATACGTAACACGTGTCCCAGCCATTTGAACTGATGAAGTTTCACCACTTCATCAATTGATTTGCCATCCTTACCTAGTACCCGTTTCCTAACAGCTGCGTTACTTACTCGGTGGTCCCAGGATATACGAGCAATACTTCGAAGACACCTATGATCAAATACTAGTAACCTACGAATATCCTCTACTCTTACCGGCCATGTTTCACAGCCATAAAGTAGGACGGAACGAACTGCTGCGCAGTAAACACGTCCTTTGGTTGACAGACGGATATCTCGCCTACGCCATAAATGACGCAAGTTGGCAAAAGCTAGTCGAGCCTTCTGTATCCGTGCTGAGATTTCGTCACACACCAGACCACAAGGGCTGATGAGACTCCCAAGATAAGTGAAGCGGTCGACACACTCAACTACTTCACTCCCTATCACTAGTTCGGGTGTCGATGTAACCCAATCCTGAAGCAACATTTTGCATTTCGAGGGAGAGAATCGCATCCCGAACATGCTTGCATTGTTGCTTATAGTGGTCAGAAGACTGCATTTCGTCAGCGTCTTCACCAAATAGAACTGTCATCTGCATATTCTAAGTCAACAAGTGAACCTCCCGGTAGAAGTTCAACCCCCGGAAATTTAGATGAGGAGAGTGTTATCTCTAAAAGTACGTCAATGACAAAGTTGAACAAGAATGGGGAGAGTGGACAGCCCTGACGAACACCACTTGAGGTAATCAATTCTGATGACAGTTCGCCATAAGCTCTCACTCTACCAGTTGTGTTCGAGTAGAGAGCCTTTATAAGGTTAATGTACTTCTTTGGTACTCCTTTCAGTGACAAACACTGCCATAGAACCTCACGGTCAACAGAGTCGAATGCCGCCTTAAGATCGAGAAATGCTACCATTGTGGGGCGTCTGAATGTGTGTCTGTGTTCTAGAACCTGACGTAGTGTGAATATCTGATCTATACAACCACGTCCAGGTCGAAAACCGGCCTGGTTTTCTCTAGTTTGCTCTTCACGAGCTTTGATTAGGCGTCGAAGTATTATTGAAGCTAATACTTTAGACACTATTAGTCAAACTGATTCCTCTGTGATTGTCACAAGAGGACTTTTGTCCTTTCTTAAAAACTGGCACAATCAGTGATTGAGACCAGTCAGATGGGATTACGTCCAGTTCCCAAATTCTACCTAAGACCTCGGTTAATCTCATTACTAATACTGGACCACCATCCTTAAAAATCTCAGGAGTAAACCTGTCAGGGCCTGCTGCTCTCCCTCGTTTCAGATTTCCTATGGCTTTTTCAACTTCATAAAGAGACGGAGGACCTACATTAACTTGCCATTCAGGTTGACTGGAGATCGTGGGAAACCGAAGTGTGGCTGAAGGCCAGTTGAACTGATCCCTGAAGTGTTCTGCCCATCGATCCAATCTCCTGGATTGAGAATGAATAATATGTCCATCTTTCTCTGAGATTGTTTCGCTAATAGTCGGGTTCCTAATTCCGGTTTCCTTAACGAGTCTAAACAATTGTCTGCTATTACCTATTGCCGCTGTCTTTTCCATCTCTCTTGCTTTCGCTACCCACCACTGTTCACGATCATTGCGTAGACTTTTTGTCAGCTTACGCTTACGCTGACTCCGCTCTTCATTATGTTCAGAGCCAGGTGGAATGAGTTTCCGAGCATCTATCAGTGCGATAGATGCTGCTGAGATCCAGTGTTTCTCCCTAACCGTGTGGTTCACCTTACTAGCAGATATCACTGCTGTTTCCACAGCTTTACGGATATTATTCCATGCTGCCTCGGGGTGGGCATCACATACATGGCTGCCTAACTGTTTTCCTAGTTGTTCCTGAAATATACTCTTAGCTTGACTATCATTGAGTAGGGCCCTAAGAGGTTTCCTTGCAGCGTCTTTCCTACGTCCA